GTTTCGCGATTTACAAGGATATACTGTTTTATTCACTGGTGACATCGCATTAACCCAGTGTCATCTCGTGACATTATGAAGTATAATTACAATCTTATTTGCAACGACAAAATTATACTGTTTGCTGTATTTATTTTTGGTCTCACCTTAACTATTTCTAATTAGACTAAAATCCCTGATAACTGCTAGAGTCGTAGCCAGGATCTCAGACACTTAGAATGTGTCGTATTATTAACTTGATAAGCCAAATTTATGATGCTTACTTCATCTTATCTGCGACTTCTTATTTGCACATCCAGTAAATGATAACGTTTATATTCTTCACAATAAATTATCATCAGTGTAGGCGTTTCTCAAAAGAATAAATCACAGTTATTGCGATCGGATTGTGACAAATAACTCAATCAGACTAAATACAATTTCCAGTTATAGAAACTGTTAACTAACTGTTATTATTGTTATTATCATGATATCGAACAGAATAAAAAAAGGTTTACTCCAGACAGCACGTTTGATAAAATGTTGAATTTGCTTATTGTTACAAATCACTCATTCTATATGCAACGTAAACATCTCCCTAGACATTTACTTCACTGCAGTAACTCCATATATCTTGGATGTGATTTAGTTCAATCGACAAAAAATAATCTATTTTAGTGCAATTTTGGTTGGCACATTAACAGCATAATCTAATAAATGTGCATAGGCGAGTAATTCGCACCTAAGTTTGTCTTTAATACAAATTCTAACTGAATGCACAAGTTTTGAATCTCGTAATGAATATTGTGGGTGTGGGTATGGCTATTTAATAACGTGATAAACACTTGTGAAGAAATTTCTATACTTTCTATTTCACTGCTGAAGAACAGGATTGTACGGGGGCCTTGGAATCCTTAGAAGTGGTCTCAGGTTAACTCATAGCTCATTCAGTTGTCCCAAACCACAAAGCCTCACTTCACGTGTACTCATGGATTTTGCACTCACTAGTAACATTTGCAAAATTGTTTGCTATTCCGTCCGATACCTCAAAAGTTTAGGTGTGAAATCCTGCATTTTCTTATTCGAATCAATAAAAAAATTCACTTGTTACTATACATATAATCCTTTCACACACAAACACTACTTCGAAAAGAACTGGCTGTGTTTCTTTATCAGTTTTTGTGATTATTAGCCTTTTGTAAGTTTCGAACTAATGTGGTGCATAACAGTGATATGGTTTTTAGACAATCGCAGTCGTTGATTTCCATATCAAAAACTTACAAAATACCAGGTAGGATGCGAAACGTTCCCATTCCAATTTGAAGACAGCATTATTCTCGTTCGTTTGGATAAACACACTATCGAAATTCATATTAGCATCCGTGTAAATGATGCGCCTGTGTCTACCACTAAATCTTATTCCTAATGTGTCGCAACTTGTCAGATACAAATCGACCCCATTGGTGTATTTCAGATTTGTGTTGGGTGGTAAAAATTTGTTTGTCGTTTGTCCTTAGAGTTCTACCAATAACTTAGCATGATTTTTCGCCTCTGTTTTGCACACATCTTAATAACAGATATGGAAACGCAGAACAGTGTTCTCAGTTGGCATTCTTGTAGAATATCTTTACTTCATGGAGGTCACAGAAATGAAAGATTTGCGTACATTATATCACTGTGATGTACAATGTTCAACTGGAAACAGGGTTTGTGTTCTCAGTGTTTCGGTGTGTACTTCTTGAGAATTTGTTAGAATTTGAGTCACTAGGTGTTAACGCTGCTCCTGAGATATTTTGTCGCTATGACGTTTGTACCTTTCCGCGATTACGAATTTTCGTTCAGTATAACCCAGTAATATGCATAACGCATTTATTTAGAATATTCGCTAGCTGCAAACATATTATGATGAATTAGGCTGAATCACCAACTATTTATTGATAGGTTGGCGGAACATTCGTGATTCGAATATCTTGTCTACATTGATGCCTGAAAGAAGGCGGCATTAACTGAGCTGGATATTTCAATTTCAAAACAAACAAGCCACTTGTCTCATAACTAGCCATCAGTAAACAAATCGGAAAGCGACATTTTGAAAATACATTTGATTTTAATTCGAAGATAAATCGTGATGGTGAGTATGTAATATTCCAGTTCAGAGGCTAAGGCATTTGTTTCAGTACTAGGAATGAATCAGTTACTCCGACGACTATCACTGACAATACCAAGTATAAATTGAGTACATCACCCTGTAGTTTGACAATCAAGAGTTTTAATGATTTTCATTACTTTGTGGGCACTATGTTCCTGATGAACAACTCTCGATATAGTTACCCTGTATGATTCAGTATTTCAGAATTCCTCAATTTCATTGCTTTATTTAATGATTCTTTCCCAAATGACCCAAATGTTTGGTTCAGTACGTACTCATGTTCCTTCTGGTAAGGCTTTCACCTTCGAGAGTACATGGTTCGTTTCACTTTAGCTTTTTCGAATGATTTGCTGAGGTAGTTCTAAAGAAACTCAAAGCTCTGGTGTGAAAAATGATGGTCTTAGTTAAGTAGACGAAAATATCTTCCTAAGATCATCATCCATGAAATTTCTATGTCATGAATCTCAATCTGTAACAAGTATGAATAATTTGGGAACACGCATAAATAGATTCGTGCAGAGATATTTCCTTTTAAGTTGCCATACACTGTTTGGAATAAGATATATTATTCAAAATCGTGTTTTATAGGACTGTTTAATATTCAGATAGGCGCCTTTTAATGAAGACAAACTGTCAAATTCTGTGACTGCTTCCACATTTATCGGTCACTAAATAATTTTCTGTTTCCAAAGCGTTTCATTTGCATTTGTCCCACGTCTAAATGAATTCATATTGTACATACTACATCAGTGAATTACATTCGTTGTGTTTGTTGCTTCAGCGTAGATGTCGTTTGTTCGTATCACATCAAATATCTGACTAATGTGTCTTATCTGCCAACCAAAAGGGCTAAATTGAACACCAAGCAAACTCAATTATATCTTCACGCCGGGGATTTCATCCATCAGTATTTTAGAGGCAGTGAGAAGTCAGTTAAAATAGTAATCATTATTTTTGTGTTATGGCAGTCGACAAGTTGTGAAAAGTTCAATTTAAACATGAAATTATTTACGATGCCTTCAATGTGACCTATAAGCAAAGGGATAATAAATACCAATTTTACACACATAAAAGTGATTTCACTTTTGAAACTATGTGAAATCAGAATACCATAGATTTCTGTAAAGTAATTTCGTTGAACTATTGGGCAATAGTTAGTGCTCGAAACGTCATCAATTAATATTACTGTGCAACACTGTGTGACTTATCAGCAATAAAATGTTATTCATAATAGAAATATGCTCTACCACAATGCCCAAGTTTTACACTTATATCGAAGTCGTAGACACTACATATTAAGACTGAGGAAACCTGAGTCAAAGAAAAATTGAAACAACTTCAATGTTGTGTTCAAGGAAACGGGTAAAACTCTTCTGGAGGAAAGAAAAAGGGAGACGCGAAGAGAAACGGCCCCCGATGGTTACCTAGAAGCCAATGGAAGAGAGAATGATGATGAAAATGAAGATGACTCAAATCTATATCTCAACTGCAGGTCTAAGGATTTATCAGTCTCACTCAGCGGATGACTATATGACAGTGACACGTATCAGGTGATCTACAACGAAAAATTCAGCGGGACATTCGAAGTGAATACAGGAGTAAGACGGTGTTGCCAATTAATACCAACAGTGATATCCTTAATTGAACTGGATTTTGTGTCAGAGTGTACGTGGGAGCAAGAAGACAGGAATACTTTCGATGAATAAGAAGACTGCCGAAGATTTAGACTTAACGGGTGATTTATGTCTGGTGTCACCCAAACTTGTGGACGAAAATCAACAAACTGACAGAATAATCAGTGAGCGATGGCAAGACTCCAGGCGAACATCAAGAAGACGGAGGTGATGAAGACATCCAACGAAAAACTTACACAGGAAGCATTGTATCGACGGATGAAATAGCAAAGCCTGTGAGACAAGGGAAGGCAAGATAAGCATTCATCAACCTGAAACCAGAATAAAGAACAGGATCTGGGTTTTTCAACACAAGTGTCGATTCAGTTAATACTTCTATATGGGTGGGAATCTTGCCGAGTGGGTCGCGTTAAGGGTTCCCTAGAATTATCAGGCTCTTATCATGAGGCTCTTTTGCTGACTTTACCTTGGGGATCAAACGATCGGCTGGCTGGAAGGGATAGGAAACAAGAAACCCTGGGAACAACACAAATAAAAGCCAATTGCTCGAGAAATATGTAGAGGAAAATGTGCAAGGGTCGAGACAAAACAGACAAGGATTGTTATAAGCTGATCTTAGAAGTGATTTTGTTGAAGCTTCTGAAAAGAGTATTTATTATTGCCAGTGACTATAATTTGAAAATAAATAAATTTACTCCTTTAGTGTCGAAAGTGTTGATAAAAATAAATGGAACATTCAAGGACAGCAAAAGTCGGAATCTAATATGAATAACTTAACACAGAAGTGAGGAATGACCGTTTATTTCATTTCAAAGAAAATTTGGGTATTATATTTGAAAAGTAAGTCACAATAGATGTGTTTTCTGGACCCAAATAACTGAAATCCCCCTGAAATACATTTGCGTGCTATTATCGCCGGAAAACTGTCTTTGTGATAACTTACTTGTGGCGTATGAAAATAATGAATACAGATTTATTATGATATGTTCCCTTGCGATATTATTCAGGAAACTTCAACTGCATAGTTCGTCGACTCGTGCTCTTTTAACTTGATTATTACTAAGGATATACCGTCAATTCTGTAATGCCTGACCGAAAAACTTTCAAGGACAAACAGATTGACACGAACTCTTATTGTTCTTATGTGTAAATATTTGCACTTAGACAAAGAGCTTCTTGGAAGAACATTGAAACAAGTAACAAATAGGACTTACTTATGAAAGAAGATTGGCCTTCAATTAGGCAAACTATCAACGAAATGAAAAAAACTAGTGAGAAAGTTTGGCGAATGTGAAGTTCAAACCTAATTCCATGAAGTGGAAAGTTCAGCAATTTTATGTAACTAAGGAGTTTCTAGTTAGTTTTGGAAGACAAATAATAACGTCATAATTGTATTTCAACCCCTAAAAGGATTTCATCCTCTCAACACAAGTTAGAATGTAAGCGGCTTCCCAGTCATTTGAATGACTGTCACCAGAATCCGTCAGTAAATGTGTTTGCCAATGCCTCTTACCGTCAACAGAGAAAGGTGTGAAAACTTGATGTGGTCAACGTCTAGTTTTAATCTTGTCACTTACAAAATTCATCAATGAAGCAATAACATGAAGATGGATGCATTACAGAGTGAATAGTGGGAAGCTGAATAAAAAGGATTCCATTGACTCCGATAAGCCTTGAATTTGTCACCTAACTTAATTCACTTAACAAACAGAGAATGGAGGGTAATCTTCAATATTCAACAGTTTAAAACGAATACGTAAACAAGTCATATTAATGACTTACGAGTGTCATTGATTCCCCCTCCTATTACACGGGCCATTAGTGCAAAACAACATATTGGTATTATTATTTTAAAGTGTCGAATCTCATAAAATAGATGCAGTTTTAGATAGTCATCGAAGACAATAATTCAAGCGATCATTGTAGTTAAAATTTGTATCTGTGTGAATACGTTTTCTTTGCGAATAATTCTTTTAGTTTATATCCACCAATACTGAAAAGTATCTCTGTCATGTCATCTTGTCCTGTAGAAGCTGTTCACCGGTAGACTTGTTGTGATCGTGCTATGTTTAAGTGGATATTCTTTAAGAGATTTATTCCACAAAACAAGCCGAGAACGGTCAAAGTAGTAGCTAAAATGTTTCAAATTATAATGACTTACAGACCTCGATTCACCTCCACCCTACCAAATAAATAATCAATACAACACATTTAACCTATATTGAAGTCCAAAAAATATATTCAGTGAACAAACTAGCCTAAGTAGTCAATGCATTTCAAATACGTGTATTGATACTAGATACGTGGGTCTGAAACTAGGTTATTTCATCGACAATGACAAAATCTCTAAGCCTGGAATGAGTACTTTTAGGTTAGCGATTGTCATTCATCAATTCATTTCTTGATCAAATAACATAAAAACAGGATGAGAAAACAGTTAATTCACCTATTAAAGAAATAAGAATCAGAACCAAACCTATAATCAACAATCTCTTCGGTTGAAACATCAGCAAGACACTGAAAGCTTTCTTCAAAATTATTTTCAGCGTAATATTAACGCAAAAATGATCTCATTTTTTACTATTAGTAGGTCTCAGGGATTCATCGATATAACTCCACTCTCATGAATAATGTAGTCAGATTCTTAATTTTATGACATCTTATCTTTCAAATGTGCTCAGACTGTGAGCTGTTTACCAGGATATCGATCAAGTGCGGACAGTTTAATAGGAATCATTATTATAAAAACATATATCTACTGTCAGTCAAACATGCAAGCAACAGGAAATTTATTGAAAATGGTGCAAATGACTCTGCCATCATATACATGAGTGTATGAAGCTTGATTCAATCCTTCTGATGACAACTGGTCAAGCAGAAAACATTTTTCTCATGAAGATGTCTCATTGACGGTTTTCATAAGTGTTTCAAAATGTTTGATAAGCCGTCAAAAATTTCGAAACCGAAGCAAATGCAAGAGGGAACTGCACATTTCAGAATTTATGAATGATGAAAATCTGTAAAATCTAGAGGTCATTTAAGCACTTTGGAATGTGTTATGAGTACGGTGACACTATCGTTTAGGGTGACTGCCAGCAGGGATATAAATGTTAACGTATGTAGCAGAATCACTAACGTAAAAGTCTCTCCATGAAAAATCTATTCACAATATTTAGACCTATCAACTATTGCGTTATTCTTGTGTTTGAACCTTATCTCCTGTAACCTCCTTGTACAATTTGCTTCCGTTTTTCTTTAACTAAATTTGAGTCATTTACATTGTTTTGAATGTCCCCGTATACTTTCGAGTGATGATGTTTGCAAACTAATGTGTAGCCAATGACCAATATGCTGAGTGACCGCTCTACTTTCAAGTGTCTCCAGAAAATGAGGTTTAAACCCTTTCATTCATGCAGACGCGGTTTCTTTCCCCCCATAACGAAATATCTTTACGGATTCTCAACATGAATGCTTTTAAATTGTCTTCTCAATGATGACACTTTGTGTAATTAATACTTTTGAATAGTACCACAGATTCTATCAGGCTGAAGCGCTTCTGGACGTAGTTGATACATGATTCTGCATTGTTCTTTGTTCGGAAAAGCTCAACAACCCATACAGAAGGACAATTCGATCGGCTTTTGTGTTCAGACTAAGAACACAGAAACAATAACTTTTGTTCAATACCTAATGACAATACTTGAATAAAATATAATGATCACTTAAGAGTGGAGATTCGTCTCCATCCTGTTGTATAGGTCATGAGTAGAACAAAATTTACCAGCGCTAATATCTATGAAGTGAAAAACCTCATAAAATGGAAGCAGATTTAATTAGCTTTCGAAGATAAGAATTCAAACGACCATTGTATTCGGAATTTTTATCACTGTGGTTGCATTTTATCTACGAATAACTGTCTCATTTTTAATTCACTACTACTCGAAATTACTTCTGTCATGGCATATCGGCCCCTGTTAGCTGTTGATGTAGAGACTTATTCTGAACGTGCTGCATTGTGGTGGATAGTTTTCAACAGAATCAGTTGGATTTCGCAAAACAAGCTGAGAATGTTCACAGTAGTAGCAAAATTGTTTAAAGTCATAATGACTTACAGAGCTCGACCCACCGTTGGCCTGCCAAATAAACAATCAATGCAACACACTTAACAGATGATCAATTCCAAACAGTTTATTTATTGAACACAATAGTGCAAACAATCAATGCAGTTCGAATTTCTGTACTGATAGTAAACACAGAAGTGTCACACTAGACCATTTTATCATAAATTTCGAGAAGATCATGCCACGAAGGAGTCTTATCTAGGTACACGATTGTCATTTTTTAAAATTCATTTTTAGATCAGATGTTATGGAAACAGAAGAAAACACAGATGACTTGCCGATTGAGAAAATAATAATCAGAAATTACCCATACATATTTAACAATCTTTTACTTGCCAATATCACTAAGACACTGGCAGCTTCATTCCAAATTATTTTTACTGTGATATTAAAAAACCTGATTTAACGTTTACTATCTATAGGCCTGAGGAGTTCATAAATAAAACTACTGCAGAGGGTGGTTTGCTTCTGTTCTCAAATGAATTATCAACAGATAGAAGGTTTAATTACTTGTTTTCGTCTTGACATTTTTTTTTTATTATTTTTATTTTGATTACATCTAGATTCCACACTGAATTTTTGGTACCAGTGTGGAATTTTCAGCATTTGATATCGGTAGCCCAAATTTTGCAGGCCGACCATAGATATCAGGTGTGCGTCGGCAGGGGATCGAACCATGGTCCATGTGCACGGTTGGCGAGAGTCCTAACCACTGTGCGACCGACGCATAGTTATTTACCAGCCCAGTGTTTGAGTACGGACACTTGAAGAGGGACAATTTTAATATAATCATAAATACATTATCAGTCAAACACGCAAGAAACACGACCTTTTTTTCAAAAAGGTTACCATCAGCACTGAGCGACAATAATAAATGACTCCATTAACATATAAATGAGTGTATTTGGGTTTATGCAATCCATTCATCACCAATGATCCATCAACAGACATTTCTCATGAAGACATCTTATATGAAGTTTTCATTATTGTCTCTTAAAGGTTGATGGACAATCAAAATGTATACGAGCTCGCCTTGTAACCGGAAGGTTCTGGGTTCGAATCCCGGTGGGTGCGTAAATCCTGAAGAGTCCCAAACTAGGACGAAACAGCTGTCCAGTACTCCCAGGTTTTCCAATGGTTCTTTAACTAATGTCAGCTCATGATGAAATCCTGAAACCAATCAAATCCCTACAAACCAACACTTGAATCAAAATGTTTTTAACTAAAGTCAATAAGTGAAGAAACTTTACTTTTTGGTATTTATGAATGATGAAAAGCTGTAAGCTCTACGCAAAAAATATTTGTAATTCATTTGAGCACTTCAGAATATTTTATGTGCAAGGTGAGCCTATCGTCAATGGTAACTATCAGCACTGAACTGAAAATCTCTCCCTGGAAAATCTACTTACAATATTTATACTTATGAACTAATTCGTTATTCATGTGTTTCACTGCTATCCTCTATTCATTTCTTTGAAATATTTCCCTCTATTCTTTCTACTAAATCTGAGTCACTTACCTCACTATGAATGTCTCTGTTTACTTCTGAGTGATGTTGTTGTTAAACTAATGTGTGGCCAATTACCGATTCGCTGAGTGACTGCTCAACTTTGAAGTGCCTCCGGAAAATAGGGTACAAATCTTTTCGACTATACAGACGTGGTTTCTGTCCCGCCATAGTCAGAATATTCTGAATGATTGAGAAAACGAATTGTTGTATGTGGCATGCTTTTAAACTGCTTTCCCTCTGATAGCACTGTTTGCAGTTATTACTGTTGTATCGTGCAACAGATTCTAGCAGACTGAAGCGTTTCTGGACATGGTTGATACATGATTCTGAACTGTCCTTCGTTTGGAAAAGTTTAACAACCCAAACAGTAGATTGCATCGATTGCCTTTTGTGTTCAGACTGAGAATGCAGAAGCACTAACATTTTAAATAACTTAAAATAATTCTGTCGATTTTACAAAATTGATTCCCAAGAGAAGACTGTTGGAATAGCGATACTAAATGAATTAGCATACAAAAATATCATCCATTAGACACGGGTATTTTTTTAGTACATTGTTATTCTCGGTAATCCTGTTAACTTACAGCAACCTTTAAAACAGTGGCCTATCATATAAATAATCAAAATGCACTCAAGTGATATTCAATTAAGTTCAAACTTATTGATATTCAAATAGATATTTTTATTTCACGAGTATTATTACCGGTAAACAATTTATCATCATATTTACAGATTTTATTAAGACGTTAAACATTGAAACTGCATAACAATGTGATTGCACTTTACGACGTTGCGTACCGGCTGTTAGATTTATCAAACAATAACTAATTCCATTCTTTATTGAGGTGTTGGGTTGTTTGAAGTTCTATAAGTTCCGGGGTTTGATCCCCGGGCAACGCACTCCTTTACCTCGCCAAGCTAGAAATAATGCTGGTAAAGAGGAAAGGTTGGGCATGAGGCTAGCAACCCCATCCTGTAAAAATAAACACTGCTACAGAAACTTCAAGCCACTGGCTTGAAGCCCTATGTTCCACTGGGAACGTGAAGGAAAAATTATTATTATTTATACGAGATTAGTGGGAAGTAATATTCAGTCTTCTAACTGAACAATACGTCATAATTAATTGAATGAGACATCACTCATTAATTTGGGTGTTGTGAAGATCTTCAATTTCAGTCAGTCGTTCGATTGTGAAGTCTGTTTTCGTTTATATTCAGCTGTCTGTAGTTAACTTCTGGTATATCTCGTGAAGAGTAGTCACTGCGATGAATTATGTGGTTTATCACAAATAACCAATTAGCAGTATTGAATTATACTTATATAACAACGCAACAATGCTTACCACCAATTGATTTGCATCATCTATAAACGAGGCAAAACGGTGCGTTATTTCTCACGTTTTTGTTACTCAATCGTGCTCATTACGAAGCATTCAATTTAAAATATTGAAATGCGCACATAATATGCTATGTGAGAATGTGAAAATCAAGGCTGGAAACTGAGTCAAACGATCAGGTAAGTATTTAGAAGGATAATGTTTCCTGTCGCTTGTGTGATGATTCAGATATAACAGAAAGTTGACTGATGAGGTATCTCGAACAAGAGTTATCCAACATTCGACATCTTGTCTCGACCCACTGACTTTCAAGACTCATGTGCTAACCTGACCTTCTTTTCACGATACTCACCGAATGGACAGAGTAGTTACGCATTTCTGCAAAGGTCTGTGTAATAGGGAAACTACTTAATCATGCACTTGGATATCAAATGATTTTCGCATAAAATTGTTGTTTGAATCATTGGCCGAATATATTTTAGAGCATAAAATAAACTTTCTACCCAATGAATCATCTGTAATTACTGATATAGAAATACAACGATTTGCATTTAAATCAATAGTCAGCCTATCAACTTAGACGACAATAAAAGCTCAGGAATTAAATCATCTAACCAACTGAGTACATTATCACTGAAATTATCTCCATAACGTACAGTGATATAAGAAAGAAGTTAGATAAAAGCACGCAGCAACATACCAGTGCACCACTCAGGAAACCATTTACCTGTGTAATGAATAAATAAATGACATAGAAAAATAAAATATTATTACGGTACATGCAGTGTATAAGCTGACACTAATGCACATCCATACGAACTGATTTTCACATTACTTGTCGTTTGATATCAGCAAATTTCAGAAAAACTCTCTTCTACTGAATCCCATGTATTCAGTTCTAGCTAACAAGTTAACCCAGCTCTGATTGAGCAGAATATCAGAAGATACTAAAAAGTAAAGTCTAGAGGGTTATTAGGCAGAGAAGATTTCCAAAAGTGACAAATTAATTATGAATAACAGTTTCGATTTTACGTATTATGTAGACGTCTCATGTCCAGAAATAATTCTGTGAATAGTCACCGTAATCTTACTCTGTGTATATATTTACAGTGGTCTTGTGCAACACTAATATAAAGAACCGCATAGCTCATTAGGAAGACATCAGTTAGCATACTCACATGCTCGAATCAACAAAAATGATAACTACTTTCGAATTTTAAAATGAGTGAACACAACTTACAGAAAAAGTGCCAGAGGAACGATGATTCATACTGTGGTAGATGCATGATATCTGGAATAAATTCATATGTGTTATATGATCAAAAGATAATGTAATGAGGAAGATTTTACAAAGTTATTGTGTTTACTGACTGCATGGAAATAATGAGAGAGATTTTGTATTTCAGAAAGTACCAATTAACTAAATATCAATATAAGAAAATACTTACACAAGATAACTGATAACATGATGATCAACCAAATTTTCCTGAACATGTTTCTGCTCACGAAATGAGTGATTTTGGCATACATTTAATATGTGGCAGCTATATATTGAGTATTATCTGATTGCTTATTTGCTTGTATTGTGCATTCACATTCTCATATCATATCATGCTTACGCAATTCGATAATTTGGAAATGTGAAATTGTTATTGGCTTTAAAGTGAAACGTATGCAGAGAGTAGACACCCGAAATGTCTGTAGCACTCTTTCCTCTGATTAAACGTTCTCTAGTTAAGGAAGCTTTTGGACTCATACACAATGATAATCTTCCAATCACAATATGAAGGCTTCTACTTTGTTAATTGGTGGTTCATGATATATGTGCATTTATTTTTCACACTCATTTTGTTGAAATATTCAGTGACATGTTTTGCTTGAAAAAAACACAAAAAAGTGTTGAAATGATCCTCCTCCTACATCTACAACTAATTTTGCTTTTTGTGTTAAATGACGATGTGCATTATTAAAGGCATTCACTCATAGTACAAGTTGATGGAGATATATATGGTACCTGCTTATTGATACGTAGCAGTTGATTCCAACCAAGAAAATGTTAGTAAGATGAACGTTCATTACCAGTGGTTGGTTGTACCCCAATTGAAACTCAAATGTCGTACTCATCTTTTTAAACTATCAGGCCTTATTTTACATATTTCTATTTACGCGATGCCTACTGGTTGATGATCTCTAGTAGTGGAACCAAGAATCGACGTCTTCATTTATTTTAGGTTCTACGTCTGCATCTCAACCAGAAAACTGTAGGTATATTTATGTACTTATGCGATTCGATAAAGACCAAATATATATATTAATTTCCCTAAAATAAAATAGTGAATGAATTTCGCACAAACGATAATGTGTAAACGAATAGCAACTCGTCAATTTAGTATATTTAAATGTGAATTTATTCATTGTTTCACCCAAAAGATTTCCAACGAGCGTCTGAAAAGTATACAAGTCTTCAACGAAACAAAAGTTTCCAATAAGTCGATGCAAGAACCCATTAAAACAAAAATTCGGTTGGAAATCACACCACATGTGTCACTAATTTAACCAAAGCCTACATTTTAGTTCACGTATCACGAAACAGTCTAAGAGACTGAATGATGTAACAGAAGTGTCGCTTCAATAAACAAATCTTTGTTTCAATATTTCATTGAAACTACTATCAGAATAAAAAGATGGTGGGGAATCCATTTTGATCTTTTAAGCGAAAGTGCAAGGCGATATGTTGACAAACCTATGCAGTGTCGATGTTCAAGTGAATAAACATCATTCCTGAGCTTGAAATGATTCTATACTTGCTTTAGAATTATACATAGGGCAAAAAGATCAGACCATCGTCTTTATTTCTTAGACGATAAACCGCTCAGTTATGAAAACACTGAATGAGTTAGCAAGAAATCAATTTGTTTAGACCTAAATTTAACTACATCGTCACTTATAACAATAGCCGTCAGGCGGAGTTTCAATGGTTAATAGTGTCTGCTGGTCATGTTCCAGTTGACTGATACCCATTTCACGAGAGTGAATAACTTGCCCAACCGACTGTTTCTGAACATCAAGTAGACATCAACAGAATTTTCTCATCAAAATTCATCTGAATGAGTCAGATCGATGTTGAAAAGAAGTCGTAGAATATTCCATCTTTGACATGCCGCATCATGAAAATCAGCGAGTGAGTGACTGACTGACTGACAAATTTGGATCATTGTAAAGATAACTAGCTGTCTGTCTACAGAAAATAAGGGACGGTTGTATACCTCAACTTCATTGACTTTGAAAAAGCCTTCGTAAATGGACTTCAACACCTGCAGTCTACATCTAAATACAATTATCTTCTTAGCTGATGAAATTTTTCAATCATTTATTCATATAGAATAAAACGGGAAAGAAAAGAAGCGAAATAGTAAACATCAACAATATTACTAAATTATTGGCGATTTATAAATATACCAAAATCACTTGGATTATGTAACTGAAAACGCAAGCAACTCTTCATTCATCATCAACAAGCCGGTGATCGTTTTATCTCGGGGACTTTAGGCGAAAAAATTAGAACTAATAACACTATATAAAAAATGAATGTCATAGTAGTTTTCAAATAACTGATTATGTAAATGAAAAATCCCCATATTGAAATCAGAACAAGATTTTGAGCGAACAATTGTCTTCGATAACTTCTTCTTCATGTTCTTCAGTTATAAATCCATCAATAATAGAGTACATAAAGCCAAAAAAGGCAAATGAAAATAATATCAGAAACTGTATTAGGGTGCATGTGTAAGTTAAGATGATAGTCCATTAGTTAGCATAGTCAATTAAATGTGTGTAGGGGGTATAGTCAGAAAATATGTGATGAAGTGTGAATGAACAATTGGGTGATGTAGTGTTGTTTTATAGTTAACAGAGTACAGTGTCTTTGGGGTGAGATAAATGCGATAACCACAAAATACATACAAATACACATTAACAAAGGAGGCACTGAATGTGAGGGTTGACAGATAATGATTATATACTAAGCCTACCAATTCTGTAACATCTTATCACAATTTACAAATCAGCCTCTTTATTTTATCATTTAACATTATCGGCCAATCCTCACATACAGTATTTGTATGTATTTTGTGATTATCGCATTTATCTCACCCAAAGACACTGTACTCTATTAACTATAAAACAACACTACATTACCCAATTGTTCATTCACACTTCATCACATATTTTCTGACTATACCCCCTACACACATTTTTTTTTTTTTTATTTACAGCTTGATTCCATACTGTATTTTTGGAACAAGTGTGGAATTTTCAGCGTGGATATCGGTAGCCCAAAATTCGCAGGCCGACCATAGATAATTGACTATGCTAACTAATGGACTGTCATCTTAACTTACACATGCACCCTAATACAGTTTCTGATATTATTTTCATTTGCCTTTATTCTCTTAACGCACTCTACTATTCATAGATTTATAACTGAAGAACATGAAGAAGAAGTTATCGAAAACAATTGTTCGCTCAAAATCGTGTTCTTATTTTTAGTGATTATGGTTCTCCCAAACACTAAAACAGTATCCCTTGGGCATTATTCAACTAGGAATCGTAGTCAAATTGAAAACAACTACAACTTTATTGTGACGAGATCTTTCCTTATTGCATTCAAATAACAACTGAAACTCATTTCACAGATATTAAACTTGCATATATGATAATATGATCTGTTGATGAACTTCGAATAAGATGTGACTCAGTGCAACAAATATTATGCATGTCTTCGATATTAGTGAATTGTTCATTTCACTGACTGTTCATTTTGAGGCATGGAATAGAATATTCGTGAACTACATGTGGATAAGACGTAAAAATGGTTTAAATAAACTTCAGTTGATGGGCAGTAATCACCGTGTAATTACATCTGCACAAATAATTGTTCGCATTTCTGAATAATGTAGAAAATATTTCATTCACTGACATTCATGTATATATTATGTTAGTCTGTCATTCCTGTTGTATTATAATTCATTGAACGTGATGATATCTACCCAACTCCAATGAGTTCTGCTGCATATTATATCCAAGACCAGAGGACATGGAACATTGATTATTTCGTACTTGTGTATAAAGGTTATGTTGACTCAGATAAGAAACAAAACGAAGTCAATTTTGAATGCTGTTGATGCCAACATGGTATCTATTGATTATTTCGAGGGTACACGAATTGGGCAGTATCCGAATCAGGATAAGACTCCTACTGGAAAATCGTGGTGATGTATTTTGAATTAAATGATGACAGATACATGTCTTCTAATATAATTTAAAGTGCATTATTTACAACAGTGACAAATAAAAACCTGATGAATATTTCTTTGTATGTTTATATGTGGTGCTCTAAAAAATACAAACATCAAACTCAATATCATAGCAAAAGTGGATTTAAAAGGATACTTAAAGCACTATGTGCTGAAATAATCACAGGAATGTGTTCTGTCAACTATTACACACATTGTTATAAAGAAATCTGGTCTTATCAGTTTGAATTTCACTATTTAATACATTGACATTTGTAGGGCAGATAAATAACCTGGTTTCTCATGTACATCTAAGCAATACATATTTATGTCTTTGCATATAAGTCCGTCTACCTGAAACAATGTCTCCCAATTAACCTGTGTCTAATTATCATTGAAATAATTAAACATGTTAAACTTTAACACAATCTAACAGTGTACTAATCCACGCATTGCTGACTAGCCGTAGTGAAAGCCCAGACAGGAAATAATTCATTCGAGTATTTAAGCCTCGCTGTCTTCAGACTGATATTTGGTAGTATTCCATTGGAAGACATATGAGTAGACGTAGTTATCACAACAATATCATGCACCTGTTCATTTGTTTTTTGCATTTACACATCTTAATGATTGAATTAGACTAAGGTAATGGAAATAACTATTATTATTGCTAATAGTCTATTTTATATAACACTGAATAATTATGGAAGGGAATGTCATACTTGAAATATCTTAGTGTGCTTAAGACTTTGGGTTTGACCACCACTTATATATTTGCAGAAATAGCAGTTACAATGTGCTAATTTTGCTTAGATTCAGGCTGCTGGTAAGAGTGATCTCAACTGAATAAACCAGTTGATCAAGTGACTACTCGGAAACACATCAACACAAATCATCCTGAGGAAAACAGTTGATGGAACGCAATTGCCTAAGATAGGACACACTCCACTTCATTCCAAGCGACTCGTGAACAGACTACCGCCCACAAAAATTCCGGAAACGCCACAGACAGCGAGAGAATCGCCAATGAACCACAATCCTCCATGAAAATTGAATTCTTTATTCAGATCAAGCTAATGAAGTCCACTAAGCTAGCAGCATCAAACGAAATCGCTCCAGAAGCCCTGAAAATGGACATGGAGACACCAGAAAATATCCTAAAGCTACCGCTGC